GACTGGGATGGACTGGGATGGACTGGGACACTGGGATACAACAGGACCAGGACTGGGACCCCTCGGGACCAGAACTGGGGCAACAGGGATCATACTGGGAGCAACTGGGACTGTCACCAAACGGGAATAAAACTCCCTGTCACTGCAATGTCAGGATTAGAAAGTGGTTTTATTTTTTTCCGGCACTGGGTGCGTGGGGGTGTGGAGGGGTCTCCTCCCATCACACCCACACTGGGCTGTCTCACACCCTGGTTTCTGTGGATGTAACTAATACATGTGCATTACATTTCCCCAAACTCATGCATATATACTAAATACTCCCACAGATTCTCTTACACATTTGAATCAGTTCTCAGAACTCATTTACATCAGAGTAGGGGTCTCTCGAGGGTCTCTTGTTGCCGTTTGGGGAACATTCCTTCTTCAAATTATTCTTCTTTGGTCACAGGCCTGAAAAAACAGTTTCTTCTTCTGGAATGCTTCCCAGCTCCGGGGGCTGGCCAAGATGCTCCTTCTTATCAGTGGTTCTTTTTCCCGGCATCAGACCTGGGCCCCGGGGGGGATCGGGGGTCGTTCCCAGCCGGCTCCGCTCCGCCCTCGGGCCCCGCTGGGGCCGCCCCGCAGTTCCCAACCGGCTCCGCCGCACGGCCCGGGACCCGCGTGTCCCGCTGCCGCCTGCCCGGCCCCGCCGAGCCCAGAAACGCCGCCAAATCGCTGAGAGGGACCAAAAAACCCTTCCCGTGGGCAGCGAGGGGCGCAGGGGGTCCCTGTGAAGGCCCTTCCCCTCAGTCACTGCTGGGCACCCGCCGCCCCCGCCCCGGGCCCCTTCCCAGCGCTCCCAGTGTGCCCAGCCAGCCCCGAGCGCCCCAGGGAGGGCTTCAGCTGGGCACGGCACACAGGGGCTGCTGGGGGGTCCCACCTCACTGCGGGGCCCTTGGTTCTTCCCGGGCTGGGCAAACCTGGCGGGTGGAGTTTTGTGCCAGAACTCTGTCCCCTCCTCCGCTCGGCCCACGGGATTCGGGGCCGTTTTCCCTTTTTGGGGGCAAATAAATCCGAGGTGTTGAGCACTGACAGGACGCAGCAGCCCTGCAGCCTGCGGAGCCCGGGCTGGCCTGTGCCTGGCAGAGGAACAAAGCAGCTCAGGGGCAAATGACTCAGTGGTTAATTAGCCTAATAAATTGCTCCTAATTAGGAGGCAGGAGAAGTGAGGCCCCAGGGCTTCCTGCCCCACCCACATGGCTGGGAAAGCCGGGCCAGGAGCTCCACAACACTGTATTTTTGTCTATTTTCAGACAGATCTGGCATTTCATTGATTGATTCTCAACATTTTATGCCTGTTTAATGATATTTTATTGATTCTCTTCGAGATCAGGATCAACATCTGGATCCTTACGAACATGGTGCTTTCCAAGGAGAGCAGGACACAGGCAGAGCCAGGAGAACCAGCCTGCAATCACACAGTGCCACCGGGCAGAGATGTTGTAGAGCAAAGACTCCCTTCAGGTTGCAAGGAAACTCTGCATTCAGTGAGCTGCCTGGAGAATGTGTGCCCACAGCTCTGTGGGAAGCTGACAGCAGGGAATAACATTCCCAAGCAGCTGCATCTCTGCCCAGAAGGAAGGACTGTCTGCAGGTTCAGACACTTCTGAGTTTGACCCTTCAGACCATAGTGACCCTTTCAGAGAAAACGCTGAGGACAAGTGTATTTGAAGAGCTCAAGCTGACTGAGAAGGCCTGCAAAGCATCCTGGAGAGCTGATTTCCAAGATCTCCGTGGGCATTTGGCACCTTGATAAACTTCTCTTCTTCCCTCAGTGCCCAGGGAACACCAGACAAGGTCACCCAAGGGTTTCCCTTGAAGTCTCCTGGGCTTGGCTGGTGGAATCTTCTTGGGGGAGGGCAGGGATGAGATGAAGGCAGTTGGATGAGACTTTGGAATGGAAGATTGTGCCTGGTTTGGGGTTTTCTGTCTTGAAAGCAAGCTCACCATGAGCTGTAGAAGGCCCAGTGCTGGGTAGATTCAGCTGCTTGAATAAAGTTTTCCATTTAAGATCTTTGTTTTTTAGGAGCTCCTGATACCTCCAAAAGCCAGGTCAGGATCACCAACAATTCACTTTCCTATGTGGATATAATTACTTGGCAAGATTCTGTTGTGGAGTTTAATGCTCTGTACTAAGACACTTCTGGAATAATATTCCAAGGAGCATCCCAAGCATTGTATCCTGCTCCCTTTCTCTAATGTACCCATGTATAAAACTCAGTAATTTCCTTTTTTTTTATTTACTTAAATGAATTCATTTGACTTACATATATTAAGGGATGGCTTTATTTCCTGGTCTATTTTTCTGATGAAATAAACCAACAGTCCTGCTGGAGTCCAAGTTCTTAAATCACTGTAGTTTTCATTGCATGTATTGTGTACTAGGTTGAAAACTTCCGTAGCTGGCAGCTGGAACAAAACTCCATCCAGTTCCCTGAGCTTGCAAACCTCCTTCTTAAACATCAGGAAGAGCCACAGTAGATGCCCAAGTGCTGCAGAATGGCAGGAAATGCAGGCAGTGCAATGGTTGCAGTGTGTGAATCTCTGCAGTTCAGCAGAGGCTCCTCATCCCTCTGGAGCAGGGAGGTCACTGCTGGGAAGTTGTGCTGTCCAGAAGCCTTGAGCTCCTGTGGCAGGACGAGCACAGGGCAGTGCCACGGCCTTTGTGGGGAAGATCCTGCCGGGCCTGCCAAGTGCTGCTGCTCTTTGGAAAGTGGGAGAGTTGTGGGTCCTTGCGAGGAGGAGAATGAAGATGTTCGGCAGCAGAAAGCAGAGCAGAGCAGTGCCCTCCTTTTGTCAGGGACTGCCGAGGGGGCACTGAACCTGGCGAGCACTGAGCCAGGAGCAGCAGCAGGGCAGTGTAAACCCGACAGCCCTGGAACAGCACGAGAGGCTGCAGAGCTGGAGAAGGAATTCTGCGGGAATACTCAACTCGGGAATGCTGCTGGAAGCGTCCCTTTGGCCCCTAGAATTGCCTTGGGAGTTTGCTGCCAGGCTTTGCTGCTTTCCTGCTGCAGTGAGTCAATGGGAGCTGCCAGGTGCTGTGGGCTGGCAATGCCGTGGGGAGCAGCTGCCCGGCCGTGGTGCCCCTTGCCATGGGTGCTGTGTGGGCTGACGGTGCTGGTGGGTTCCGTGGCAGCGCCGGAGCCCGGCGGGATCCGCAGCGAGGGCTGCCAGGCCTTGGGAAAGCTGCGACCTGCAGGAGCTGCCAGGGCTCCAAGGCACAGCCCGGGGGGCCAGCAGAGACACAGAGTTCCTGCTGTGCCCATTCCCGTTCCTGCTGTGCCCATTCCCATTGCTGGTAATGCCCAGCCTGCTCCCAGTGTCCCCGTTCCTGTCCCCAGTGTCCCCATCCTGGTTCCCCACGTTCCCATTCCCACTCTTGGCATTCCCATTACCAGTTCCTGGTAATGCCCAACCTGTTCCCCATGACCCCATCCTGGTCCCCCCTGGTTCCCATTCCTGGTGTTGCCATTCCCAACTCCCGATATCCCCATTCCCAGTTCCTGGTGTCCCCAACCTTCTCCTGGTCTTCCCATTCTGTTCCTGGTGTCCCCATCCCTTTCCCCATTGTCTCCTGGTGTTCCCAGATCCAAAAAAAATCCTGGAAAAGAGAAGTTTAGGTACTCCCAGGACCCAAAAATTTTGAAAACAAGGGTTTGGGCACGCCCAGACCCCAAAATATTAGAATAGAGGGGTTAAGACACTCCCAGACTCTAAAACTCCTGAGAACAGGGGGGGTTCAAACACTCCCAGACTCCCAAAATCTCATGAACAGAGGGTTATTTGGCACACCCGGCATCCCAAAACCTCATTCCCACCTATCCACGACACTCCAAACCCCATCCCCAGCAATCCTGGAACCCCCCAAACACACCTTGGACCCCCAAGGCCCGGGCAGGGTCAGCGGCAGCAGCCAATGGGAGCGAGTGTTGCTGGTGCGTCATCAGTTGCCGGGCAGACCCGTCCGGAACGGCACCGCCCGGCTGGGTTTGGGCTGTCAGCAGCTGTCCGGCGCTGGGCATGGAGCGTGTGCGGGGAGCTGGGGCCGTGCTGGCGGTCCTGGTGCTGCTGGGAGCCCCCCCGGCTGCGGGCGAGGAGCTGTCGGGTGAGCGGGGGGGTGGGAAAGGGGGGGGAAGAGGGGAGAAAAGAGGGGGTGGGAGGCCCAAAAGTGAGTGGGAGGGGGGTTGGAAGGTCCGGAGTGAGTGGGAGGGGTGTGGGAGCCCCAAAGAGAGGGCGGGGGGGTCTGGGGATTGTGGAGCCGGTGGGAAAGGGGTGAGTGGGAGGGGGGAAAGGGGGTGTGGGAGATCAAGCAGAGGGGTGCCCTGGGGGTCCCTGGGTGTCCCCCATCACTTGAGCCCTGCAGCGGTTCCCTGGGGCTCTGGGGGGGTCGGATCCGCAGTGGGGGGGGTCCCCAACCCCCCTGTCCATCCCCGGGGGGCTGATAGGGGGTTCCCCCCCAGCCAAGAGCCGGTGCTGGGGCGTCCGTGGGGCAGAGGGGGATGGGAAAGGGGGGTCCGGGGTGGCCCCCTGAGCTCCCAGCCTGCTGTGGGGGGCTGGGGGATGATGATGGGGGGGGACGGGGCACCCCCTGACCCGTGTCCTGCACACACAGGGGTGTTCCAGGAGATGTCCACGTACGAGTGTCATTTCATCAACGGCACCGAGCAGGTGAGGCTCGTGGTGAGGAACATCTACAACCGGGAGCAGTTCGCTCACTATGACAGCGATGTGGGGGTCTATGTAGGGGACACCCTGTATGGGGAGATCCAGGCCAGGTACTGGAACAGTGACCCGGAAAGGATGGAGCGCAGACGGGCTGAGGTGGACCTGGTCTGCCGGCGCAACTACAAGCTGTTCAGCCCGTTCAGCGTGGAGAGGAGAGGTGAGCGTGGGGCAGAGCGGGTCCCCTCGGCCCCTGCCCCGGGAATGACCCTGGAGCCCCTCCAACCCTCCCTGGGAATCACCTCAGACCCCTCAGCCCTCCCTGTGCCCGTCCCTTGGCCTTTTCTCACGTCCCAGTGCCTCCCAGTTCACCCCAGTCTCTCCCAGTGCCCCACCCCGCGTCTCCACCCCGCTGGGGCCACCGAGCTCACACCCCTCAGCCAATCCCAGCGCGTCTCTCTGATGACTCTCCAGTTGCCAGGCAGACCCAAACCAAAGAGTTCTCCCACCAGGACTCAGCCTCCCAGTCCCGATCGCTTCCTTCCCAGTCCAGACAAGTCACTCCCAGTAATTTCTCGTCCATCTCACTTCAGTCCCAGACCCTCTCTGTCCATTCCCAGTCGTTCTCACTTCACTCCCACATCTCCCAACTCTCTCCCCAGTGCCCCCCCAGCCCACCCCCTTCTACCCCAGTCTATTCCCAGTCCCTCCCAGTGCCATCCTAATCCCTACCAGTGTCCTCCAAGCCCTCTCCCCCGTCCCTCCCAGTGCCCCCC